AATTAATTAGTCATGGAAATGAAGGCGAGAACAAAGGCTTGCTCAGAATAAAGATAAATAAGGAAAGGTGTCTAGGGAAGGTCAACAGGAAGCAATCAGGGAAGACACAGTGGAGGGGAGGGGGGAGGTGGGATTCATAGCTCAAGGTTGGACTAGAAAGCAAAACTAAGTTTAGCTTAGGAAGAGGAAGAGGTGGTGCTAGGATGGAGTCCTGAACTGCACAGGGCAGAGTAAGATTCATGTGAATTAAGAAAGGGCATTTGGGCTTGGACTGGAGGCTGGACCCAGCAAGAAAAGACCTGATTTAATTTAGTCTGGTTGATCAGCCTGAGGGTAAAACAAATTAGAACTGTAGACAACAGTCCCTTGTGATATGTTGAGTCAAGCTGGACTAATTAAGCAGACAAGCTGTGTACTAGTAATTTACCTATATGTGTGTCATTTATGACCCTGAAGCTGCTTCTCATTGGCTTAAGTGGGCTGTGCTCTGTAATTGGCTGGCCAAGCAGGTAACAACAACCAACCAACACAGATGAGGAAGAGTCTCATGCAGGCTCCTGAGGAGCTCAGTTGAGTTTAGAAAAAAATACTATCTCTGTCCAGATGAGGCCAGCTGAGATACAAAAGTACTGTCCTCCAGTTTCACAAATCACTGTACCTTATTGTTAGAAATTGTTCTTATTGCTAACATTGAACCTACTCCATGTTTTATGTTTTCAATAAATGAATGGGTTAAAAACACAGTCATTTGGTAGTTGTGTTCTTTTTTAGTACAAGAAGCTCAGTCAACCATTATAAATATACAACTTATGTTTTATTGTACACAGACTCTTGGGTATTAAGGTTAAGCAGGCAAGTTACAGCTTCCGAGAAAGTTTAGACCTTTATGAAACTCATAGTCTCTCTTTCTGGATCACCCTTCCAAAGCCAGAACTACACCGCTTTGCTTCCTTACACATAGTATACACAAAGCCATTTTTGACAATCTGAAGCCTGAAATTTGTGGCTCTTGGCTATATGTTCACCTACTTGTCCTGACTACTGTCCCCAGGATCATCCTTGAAATATTTGTGCTTGAAATGCTTCTAGATAGCTTCAGATTCTTGCCCTGCCCGTGTATCCACATGTCACCCTTGTCTGAATTCCATTTCTCATTGCCTTCAGGAGTTAAATATTACCATGAATATACCTACAGATGATGTACACCTTGCCTCCTCCAGCTCTAGCTACAATGAGGTTTCTATGGCCCAACACTCACAGTTGAATCAAAATAAAAGTAAAAACCTAGAGTGAAATATTTTAAATAGATGATAATTTTTAAAAATATCTCATTCTATTGAAAGGTTCTGGAGTACTGAGTTACAAATTTACAAAACATATAATGCCAAAACACAAAATGCAGTTTTGTGTGGCATATGGGAAAATGCTGAAACCTCACTAGTCACATGTAGCATATTTTATTAAACAAAGAAAGCCAAAATATTCAAAAGGAAAAATAATTACTGGCAATTATAGACATGGTATCATTAAAATATTAAATTAGGAAAATAAAAATACTTGAACTAATACCTAGCTTTCCTAGGATGCTGAGTAATATTGGTATAGCTCTTTTGGATGGCGCTCCGGTAGTATGTATAAAGAATCACAGGAGCAGGTGTGGTAGTGCGTGGAAGTGGAGATCCAAAGGATCATGGTTCAAGCCCAGCCCCAGGCAAAAAATATAAGATCCTATCTGCAAAATAACTAAAGCAAAAAGGCTGAGGGGGGGGCGTGGCTTAACTGTTAGAGCAACTGTATAGTGAGCACAAAGTGCTGAATTCAAACCCCAGCATCATAAAAAATAATTTAAAAAGTCACAAAAATATTTATTCTTTGACCCAATCATTTTCTGTCTGAGATACTAAAAAATGCAAAATGCACAATGATGTTTATTACAGCAGCATTTATAAGGAGAACAGTAAATAAATTATGGAAAACATGCTAACTAAATATTTAATGATTGTTCTGAAGATGAATAATGTTACAGGTATTCTTAATAAAATGTTAAGTTTTTTAAAGATTAAATATGCATGATCTCCATGAGTGGTGTCTTCTATGCACTTGTGTGGATAAGAAACCTAGGGGCCTGCTTGACACGTCTACTCCATCCCCAGACCACCCCATCACGATGAACACTTGGTCAGTTTTACCCTCTTCGTTGCTCGGAAGTTTGTGCTTTCTTCAGCTTTGCCACCATTTTCCTGGTTGAAGCAAACACCTCTCATCTAACTCTACGAGTAACCCTGACTGGTCTCCTATCCCATTGGAACCTACTCTCCACATGCAGCTGGGATGGTCATTTAAAAATGCAAATCCAATATTTCACACTTCTAACACTTGTCATTACTTCATGACCAAACATCAAACTACCCAGCCTGATCCCTACCATGTGACCAAGTAGGTGCCTGTCTCCTCTCCCCTCTAGCTACTCATCCTCTCCATCACCACGCACAGCCAGCAGCTGTTGCCCTACAGCTACTCTACAGTTGTTCCTCTGCCTACAAAGCTATCTCCAAGACAGACAGACACACACACACAGAGCCATCCCCTTGCTTCATCTTTTATCCTTCCAGTCCTGTCTTCTTTTTAGGGAATCTTCATTGTTGCCTAAGACCAGGTTCCCTTGTGGCATGCTATCGTACCACTTTTTTGTTATTATTCCCACACACACTCCCACTCTAGCACAATTAGAATCCATGAGGAGAAGGATGGGACTTGTTCACTATAACCTGCACCTGTTTTGCTCACCACCGTACCCTGTATCTGCACCGTGAGAGGCCTTCTACGGATGTCCACTGGACAAATTTTATCATAACTGTATGAAAAACACAGATGAAAAATCACAACGAAAAGGCAGTACTAGTTGTGTGAGATTGTAAAAATAGGACTTTTTTTCTCTATCTTCAAAAAATGTATAATGGATAAATGACAACATAAACACAATAAATAAAAAGAAACAGTTCCACGTATTGTATTTATAGACTACACATAAAAAAGCTAAACATAGAAAGAATGACTATAATTATTCTACTCTAAAGAATCAGATGTTTTCACTTTTCTATAGGGTGTACAAATGATTACATTATTTTTACATGGCTGTAATTGTAGACAAAATGTTGTATTTTGTTTTTCCTGTTTCATGCTCTGTCATTTTCCCAGGATTCTACATTGCCTGTGTAATTATAGTTAGCAACTATATGATGTTCATTTACATTTGTGTGCTGGAGACTGGTTATTGTTTTAAGATATATTTCCTGGAATAGAATTCAAAGTATGTGAGAATCACAGGAAAACAGAGATTTCTGACTTCACTGGCCACAAAATGGAAATGAAATAGATAGAGATGGTTATGATGGTTATGTGTGTGAGCATTGAATGAGTGCTTGAGGTAGGACCAAGTAAATGGCAGTTATTTTTAAGAAAGTCCATGTGACATCAAGCCTGTAGGGGGGAAAAGCCTTTGAATCGGTTTAAATAGAGTGTTTCTAAATCAGACAGTTTCTGAAATAAGATGGGTATGTTGAGAAGTGGAGGCAGTTGGTGCTGGCTGCAGGGAACCAAGGATTAGGGAGGGTTCTGAGGAAGAGGAAGTCATGTCCAAATGTGGGGCATTAGTAAGTGAGGGGTCAGTAAGTGAGACGAAGTGTTGGTTAGAAGTAGGTCTCTACGTCTGATCTGTCAGTAAGGGAAGTAGCAAAAGGAGACGGGAGTGACCAGTATCAGAAGGTGGCAGTGACAAAAGGAGAAGCAGCAATACAAATTCTGTGGGCTGAACATATAATGACACTGCCTAATGCTTTTCAGAATGCAAGTCTGGGCAGGATGACCTCTGGCTTCCTTCCTTAATATTTGTATAAAATGGCAGCATCGTAGCCCCAAGCAGAACTGTGAATTACAGCCATCTTGGGTCATTGTCTTTAACCCCAGTGTGGCTGCTTTGCAGACATTTTGCTCACCATCTTCTAAGCAATATGAAAACCCTGACACTTGTGCTTTACAGCACAAAGGATTACAGCTGCCACGTAACATGAAGTACCTCCCAAAACATTTGAGGTTTCTAGGCTTGGAATCCAATGACAATTCTAACTTTGTCATCAGTGGCGACTGTTATAGACGCCCTGTCATTACGTTCTTCAAATCCTCCTGTCTTCTCCCTTTGGATGAAGTGCCTCTCATTTCCAATTAGTTCTAGGGGTCTTCTAAAGTAGAGAGAAATGTTTGGACAAAAAAGTCAGAATGGTGAGTTAAGGACTTAATGCAGATTTCATCTGAAAGAGATCTAAGTAAGAAAGAGTAGGAGAAAAGAAAACAGTCAAGGCAGAATTTCACGCCTGGTATTCTGAAGGTGTGCCGTAGATGGCCTTTCCTGTCCATGTCAAATTCCACTGTTCCCTCCAGCCTGAGCAGTAGTCCTGCATTCATTCATGGCCTTCTGTGTCTTTGTGCTTGAAGAATTCCTTGATCCAAGACCATTGAAGGTTAGCTTTTATCTTCAGATGAACAAGTAAGGACCTATCCACTGTTTATTCCCACTACATATATGAGGCCTCAGTAAGCACTGAGTTGATAACATTGCTCAATAAACATTTAATGGATTCGTGAATGAGAGGATGAGTAATCAGAACCAGAACATTCTAGTTCTGACATGTCTAGAACATCTGTCATTTTGCTGCGTTATTAGGTCAGGTTTTAGCACATTGCTCAACCGAGTTTGTCATCGTTGACTCGATGATTGTTTTAACTACAGCAAAAACTTCTAGGTTGTCATCTTATTCTGTGGACAGAAGAATGTGTGCAAGATGTATACACCATGATAAAAGGAAATTCTGACTAGAGACAGTTTTTCCTACATTTATAGTTTATGCTGCTCCTCTGTTGGACAAAGCTTAGCCTATCACATGAGTTTACCCCAGATATGAAATGAATTCAAAGAATTTAATGACATTTTTGTTTTCTTTCAGCAAACTTCAGAAGACAAAGAGGGATATCAGATGGCTTCATGGAGTTACTGGTGAATGGTTTGAAGAAATTCAAAGAAAAAAATTTTGCAACGAAACAGATGTTAGTCAAATGTTGAAACAACCACTTACCTGTAGGCTCAGGAAGGAGATGCCAAAAAATGGTGAGAAAAATTAGATTTCAATTTAAGTTTCATCTTTTCTTTTCCTTGTGACATAGTGTTATAGACAGTGGTTCAGTGGCTCTCCAGCTTAACCACTCTGTACTTCAGGACTATTATAAGGCACAAAAGTTTTATAGCACAACATACACTAAAAAGAGTAGACTAAGCTTTTCCTGTAATTACGTGTCTTTTTTTGTGGTTTGAACTCAGGGCCTTGCATTTTCAAGGCAGGTACTCTACCTCTTGAGCCATGCCCCCAGTCTTTTTTTTGCTTTACTTATTTTTCATCCAAAAAATAAAGTAAAATTCTCCTACCTATGGCTCCCGCGTAGCTGGGATCACAGACGTGCACCACCACACCCAATTTGTTGGTTGAGGTGGGGTTTCATTAATGTTTTGTGTGGGTGATCCTCCTAATCTCTGCCTCCCAAGTATCTGGGATTACAGGTGTGTGCCAGTGTACCCAGTCCCCATAGAATCATTTCATCATGCAGTGCTTAGGGATTCAGACGTGGATGTCAAAAAGGCCTAGTGTGAATCTCTGCCTCTGTCACTGTCATCTGTTCGTTATTTGTTTTCTACAAATCTCAATTTTCTCATCTTTAAATGAGTATAGTGCCTACCTCATAGAGTACTTGTGAGAAGTAATTAAAATTATGTATATAAAGAAGTAGCCTGGAATACAGTAAGTACTTAAATGGAATGATAATGAAGGAAGAGGAAGAAACAGATAGGAGGGCTGAGGGAGGGGAGAAGCAAAGGGGGTCAGGGGAGAGGAAAGATATGGAGGTGCTGCCATTCCTCTGGACCTTTGAAAAAGTCCATAAATGAGTTCTGATACATGTTTTCTATGGACATTCTAACTGTGACTATCAGCATGTCACTTAACTTTGCCAGATTTTTTTAAATTTATAAATGAGGATGGAAGTAAAACCCGCTTTTTCTGGGCTGTTGAGAGAATAACAAGGTGCATTAGAAACAGAACAAAGTTACCCTTCCTGAAAAGAGAATAAAGTCACTTCATGTCAAGATTCTTAGACTAACCCCGTGTGTATCATGGTGACTGTGCCCTTCCCTTGAGTTCTTCAATAGTTATGATGTCAGCATATCCAAAAGTATTATGGCATTACAGTCTTTGTATATGTTGATATTACCTTCAAATTTTATGTAGTTTTATGGGTAAAACTATATATTATCTATACATATATTATACATATATCTTATATCCATACACTTATATAAACCACATGTTGTAAGTGCATGTACACTGAGATAGCTTTTGGAAGGGAATAAAGAAGATTCTAAATGGTTTAATTTCCCTTTCCTTTACTTTCTGTGGTATAAAAGAGTTAGATCAGCCATGCCTGTCACCTGAACTAGTATCAACTCAAAGTGGATTAAGGACCTTAATATCAAACCCAAAACCTTGAAGTTAGTATAGGAAAGAGCAGGGAATACTCTGGAAGCAATAGGTATAGGCAAGGAGTTCCTCAGTAGAACCCAAGTGGCTCAGCAACGAAGAGAAAGGATTGACAAGTGGAACTACATGAAATTAAAAAGCTTCTGTACAACAAAAGAAATTGTGTCTAAATTGAAGAGACCACCTACAGAGTGGGAGAAAATATTTGCTGGCTATACATCAAATAAGGGACTGATAAACAGAATATACAGGGACTCAAAAAACTAAACTCCCCAAGTCAATGAACCAATAAAGAAGTGGGCAACTGAACTAAACAGAATTTTTTCAAAGGAAGAAATCCAAATGGCCAAAAAACCACATGAAAAAATGCTCACATCCCTAGTCATAAAGGAAATGCAAATCAAAACCATATTAAGATTCCACCTCACTCCTGTTAAACAAAACACCACCAACAACAAATGTTGGTGAGGATGTGGGGAAAAAGGAACCCTCATACACTGCTGGTGGGAATGCAAGCTGGTACAACCACTCTGGAAAACAATATGGAGGCTTCTTTAAAAACTAAACATAGTTCTGCCATATGATCCAGCGATCCCACTCCTAGGGATCTACCTGAAGGTTATTCCAAAGGCACCTGCACACCTGTGTTTATTGAAGCACTATTCACGATAGCCAAGCTGTGGAAACAGCCAAGATGCCCCACTACTGACAAATAGATTAAGAAAATGTGGTATTTATAGGCAATTATAGGCTCAATAAAATTCAGCCACAAAGAAGAATGAAATTTTGTCATTTGCAAGTAAATGGATGGAACTGGAGAACATCATCTTAAGCGAAGTTAGCCAGGCTCAGAAGGCCAAAAATGACATGTTCTCCCTCATATGCGGATTATAGACCTAAAATAAATGCAGTAATATTATTGGCATGGGTCGCACACTAAAGGGAGACCGAGTGCGGGAGGGATAGGGAAAGGGAAGGAAACCTAAAACTTGAATATGGTTGATGTGCTTACCACAGAGGATCAAATAAAGTAATTTAAACTGGCAGAGGCCACTGTGGGAAGGGAACTAGGAAGTAGTGAAGAGGTCTGGTACAGATGAACCAGTTTGGGTTGTAATACACACATGCATGGAAACGACATAAGGAATCTCTCTGTATAACTATCTTTATCTCAAACTAGCAAAATCAATATGTTTTTCTTATTATTTGTTATGTTTTCTCTTCAACAAAGTTGGAGATCAAGGGGGTGGGGGGGGTGGACCAAATAATGTATACACATGTAAGTAAATGTAAAAGCTATACAATAAAATTAAAAATAAAATAATTAAATGAGATAATGTGGGAAAAAAAAGAGATCAGAACTATCCCCATTGTTTTTTTGTTTGTGGGACTGGGGTTTGAACTCAGGGCTTTGAGCTTGCAAACCTTGAGCCATACCTCTAGTCCATTTTGTTCTGGTTATTTTGGAAATGGGATCTCAAGAACTATTTGCTAAAAGGAGAAAAGAAAAAAAGAACTATTTGCTTGGGCTTGGCCTTGAACCTGATCCTCACAATCTTAACCTACCAAGTTGCCAAGATTACAGGCGTGAGCCATCAGCACCCAGCTTCCCCACAGTTTTAAGGTACTAAAAATAAAAATTTCTAAAAGATAGAATGGTTCAGCAGAATGAGAACTGGATGGGGACTGAGGACAGAGCTCAGTGGTGGAGTGCTTGCCTACCATCCAAAAGGCCCTGGGTTGAAACCCTGACACTGCAAGAAAACAGTGAGAATAGGGTCCTCCGACTTACTTAGATTTGGTGCTAGATGTCCACGGGGAAGGTAAGAAAGACCCACACAGCAAGGGATGTGGGATCCCAGGTACATACCAAGCAACACCCTGTATTTGTAACGATTTTCTCTGCTCAGTAGAACCATCTGGGGCACAGGATCTGAAAGGTGGCTCTGACTCCCCTTCATTCCTGAGGTCTCCTGTGGGGATGCTCCCTCCATCCCTGGAACGCATAGAGCGGGGAGGGCAACAAGGGTGAAGGCTTTGTTCTCTCAAGTATGGTATACTTACTTACCTGGGAAAAGTTTTTTTCTTTCGTGGGACTGGGGTTTGAACTCAATGCCTCACTCTTGCTAAGCAGGTGCTCTACCACTTGAGTCACATCCCCAACCTTTTTTTTTTTTTTTTTTGGTTATTTTTGAGCTAAAGTCTCATGTTTATGCCCCAGCCAGCCTGGACCATGGTCCTCCCAGGTAGTTGAGATGACAGGAGTGAGCCACCACACTCAGCTTTTTTTGTTTGTGATGGGGTGTCACGAACATTTCCCTGAGGGGCTGGGCTTGGATGACAGTCCTCCCCATCTCTGCCTCCTGAGTAGCTAGGATTACCAGTGTGAGTTATCTTGCCTGGCTGGAAATATTTTTAACGATTCAAAACTTTTACAATTTTTTTTTTTAGATCCTTTAGAATTACAAACATCAAGATCTAAAACCCCAATGAATCAAAAACCTTCTGTTCCTTCTCAAATGAACATCAGATCATCGTTTGCTTCCCTGTTCTCATTCAGAAAGTCTGGGAGGGAGACTTCAAAGCTTCAGTCGCTGAGACAGAAAGGGTGAGTTCAACTCAGATCATGTGACAGCTCCTTGGCTCTCCCATAGCAGAGGCCAACAGCCTGCTTTGTGCTCAGAATATTTCCTGTTTGTTCTTAGAATTTCAATCCAGATAGTAACAAGGAAACAGGTGAGAAAGCTCGTAGGAAACTGTGTGACTTAGCTACCTGAAATTTGACTTTTAACCTAAGGCTGCGTCCCTGCGGGCAGAGTTGGTAAGTGACGGGTTAAATGTTGGGAAATAGTTATTGACAGCTGTTCATTGTGCCAAGAGCGTGGTCTGTGCCTTAGCTGGGAGGATATATTTAAATCAAAACTACTCCTTTAAGGTGGCACAAACAATGTATGCACATGTGAGTAAATGTAAACACCATAAAAATTTTTTTAAAGGTATAGGGAATGTGTGGGAGTTTGGGATACAAAGACTAAATGACAGTAAATATAAGATGTGAAAAAAAAAATAGAGAAAAGTAAAATTCTACAACTGAAAAAAAAATGCATGGTGGTGACCAGAAATATTGACCACAGCCATTCCCATAAGTGGTCACCCAGAATTTAAATATAAGGTGAGGAAGCTTTTGGAGCAGGGCACAGTCAGGTTCCTGGTCTAAAACTGTGAAAATCAGTTTACCTGGACTCCTTATGTGGTTGGATTGCTTTTTGAAACACAAGTGAGGCTGATGTGTAATTGGGCTGACTGCTAAATATTTCAGCACGTCTTCCTGGTTGTGAAGCTTCCCACCCTCTTAAGGTGTTGGCTCCTGAGTGTTCTCTGTGCAGTCAAAGCTTTAAGGTTAGTCGCAGAGCTAAACAAAAGGTGTTGGAGGTCACTGTCGCTGAAAACAAGAAGCAGCAAGCAGCTGGGCAGGTTGCGAAGTTAGCAGAGCCCTGTCCCCACCTCTTGCGTGGCTGGCAGGTTTTCTGTTTTCAGCTTTTACTTGAGACTCTTTTTGTCTGAGGAAATGCTGAAGAACATTCATGTATTGTTATGTGACAGTCCCTAGCAGAGTCACTTGCCAGGAAAGACTTCAATGGGTGAGTTGCTTTTCTTTTTTTAAAAATGTTTGAGACACCGGTAATTCTGTGGTTTGGGGAATTAAAAAGGAAGAGAATTTCATGCACAGGAAATAGTTCTTTGAAGGAAAAAAGGAATATTCCCAATGTGTGGTGTGCGTAGGGTGTTTGATGAATTCATATTTTAGGTGATTTTTCTTTAAGGCAGGGTTTTATAGAGCTGAATAATCTAACATTAGTAAACCTGCAGAAGTAGAGGACATATTAACTCTACAGACAAATTCTTCCAAATTCATACTGCAGGTTCTACAAACGGGATCAAAGATCTAGAATCTTCTTTCTTGGCATAATGTGTTTTGGCTGTAGGCCAAATGGAAAAAAAACTAGAACTTGCAAAAATCTGTTTGGCAAATGTCCCTCGTGGGTACCAAAGGACTTGTGACCCTCTTCTAACCAGACAAACGGAAACACAACACAGCATGAGAAATGAAAGAAATTCCATTATTTCATTAACTGTTAGCACTTTTCAGAAACTGTCATCTTTACATGCATTTTTACTTTCAAACCAGAAGTGGGAATATTCAACACTGATTTTAACGTTTTCATTAGTATTGGTAAATACTTAGGAATTTTGCTAGTGCAGAACGTAATGAAGCCACTGGTGTGTTTCTAAAAGATTTCACAAGGTAAAATGCAAAAACATGTCCTTTCAGTTTTTAAATTTGAATGTGACCTAAATATTTGGATCTAACTCCTAAATGTGGGGGAACAGGAACGTTTAAGGGGAGTGCTGTGCTGAGGCGGCTGAACTAAATTGTGTATCATACATCCTCAGGGCGTCCTTAATCTCAGGCAGGGTTTAACTTTCTTTGACAGTCGTGAGCTTCCAAAATAACAAAATCCCTTCTGGGTCAGGAGCTGCACCTTGCCGGTGAGCACTGGGGAGGATTGACAAGGAGCCAGAAGCGCAGTCATCCATCCTGTGCTGGCAGCCGGCAGGTTTTTACCTGCTGCCGTCAGAAGCCTGACTGTCACACTTGGTGCTCAGAGAACAAGTTGGCAAAGCAATTTACAGGATTAAAAAAAAAATTTTACTGAATCATTTTCATTGTTTTTAGGGTATACAATTTTTTTCAACTTTCTATACCATGATGTTAATTTTAAAATCAATTTATTTTCTAAATCTCTGTTTTTATTAATAATTTTTATTTTATACCATTTCCCTTAGATATCATTCTTTATATAATTTTAGTCCTATTACTTTATAAAATTATTCTTATTAAATATAATTTGCTACACATTTATGTATATTAATACATCTATGCATTATGTGATAAATATATTATAAAAATATATAATATATTATGAAATATAATATAAAAATAAATATACGGTTAAATATAAAACACAAAAGCCATCAACAGTGAAGTTATTAATACAGCTACAGGTAAACAGAATTGAATGAGAGGTATTTTTCATTTATAGATTTAAAGGATCTTGATTTAACTTTCCAAAATTGTATTCAGAGAAAAAGCAATCAAATCAGAGAAAAAATAACCAATCCCTATATGCAAAAAACAGCCTTCTGTGTATCCCTAAAATGGTTGATTGTCAGAGAAATTTATTTTCCTCTTTTAAGCTTTGGATTGTTTGTTTGTTTGTTTGTTTTGAGAAGAGTCTTATCATGTAGCCCAGTCTGGCTTTGAATTCATGACTTTCTTCCTTCTGAGTGCTGTGACTATAGACATGTGCCACCACACCTACCTATATGCTTTGGTTTAACTGAGAAATGACACTGGATAGTCGGTAACCCTCCTCAGGAAAAAAGAAGGGTGTTTTCCATTTCACCAGATATATGTGGTCATTTTAAGGCTCAGCCAATAAAAAATACAGTATCCCTCCCATTGACCCACAGTTTGTACCATCAACCACAGCTCAAAATACAATAAAATATGATATGATACCTTGAAAGAGAGAGAACACCAGATTCACATTACACTGTATTATGATAATTGTTCTACATTATTATTAATCAGTGTCATTAATCTCCTACTGTGCCTAATTTATAAATTAAACTTTATCATAGACATGTATATATAGAGGAAAAATACACAGTACAACTGGGGCATGGCTCAAGTGGTAAAGCGTCTGCCTAGCAAGCCTGATGCCAAGTTCAATCCCTAGTACTACCAAATGCAACAACAACAAAACAAAAAGGAAAAGAAAACAAAGTATATAGAGGCTCTGCTACTATCTGTGGCTTCAGGCATCCACTAGGGGTCTTGATCCCTTTCCCCAAGGGTCAGGAGAGACTACTGCATGTGTATCTTGAAGCTTAGGGTTCCTACTTTCAGTGTACAAAACCACCATAAGAACAGTGACTTCATGAATTCATGGAAAGGCTAGAAGATTTACCATTTCTGCTGCAAATATGATTTATTCCTTTTCCCAAACTTCTATCATACTCCAATTCTCCCATTATGATTTTAATGCTATTTATAAATGATTGACCTGACTACGCCCCCAGAAAAAATATCTTCCATTTATGTTTTATTTGTTGCTAGCCAATAAATTCTAGAAAAGTCTAGGTATATTGTGTGTACTTTCCCCCAACACCATCCTGTAAACCACAGGACCATATTTCCTCATGTCATGTTATGGGGTACTCAGTCCCATATGTGACAGAACTGCAGTAACTATTGTCTCACCAATGCCTGTCACATGACTCACTAAGTGTGTAGTAGTGGGTGGCACAAGCCTATAAATGCGGTCGTCCTGGCTGTGGAGTGGCATCGATGGTTGTTTCACTCTTGGTCCAGACACAAGTTATTCCAGTGACAACTTCTGCTCCATGGAGAGGTGATGTGCTTTGCTGCTCTCGGCACTGTGTTCCAACACGCTCCACTGCAAAGTCACCCCCTCAAGGAGGCCACCTATGCTTCTGTCCACACACCCTCTTGAAGCTGTGGAACCAGATGCTACCGGTTGGTTATGGTGATTTTAGGGGCGTGAGTTCTTCTCCTTACTCTTTCCTTGTCGTAGTCCCAAGGTCTAAGGCTAAGTGAAACTACAAAAGAACTAGTTCCTATGGCTCATGAGTAACACGTACAATTAGTCTTAAATTTCCTGTCCTTCGAGGATTGTCACCATGCTTCACATACCGGTGCCTACTTACTACATAGTTGTGATTAGTGACAACTGCAATCTTGCAGTGGGAGTATGCGTGCCCTCTACCCTGTTCCTATAGGATGATTTTCTTCCCTTCAGATTCAAGGAGCCTTCGTGGGTCCACTAGCTGCTCTTCAGACATGCCCAAATTTGCCTAATCCATAGGGCGTACACAGCTTAGACCATCCAGCTGCACCTCCTTATGTAAGCAGAAAGATCAGACACTGTGTTGGAAAGGTAAAAGGCAGATCTTATTTCTCCTGGATTCATATTCTTTCTGTCTCTGTCTCTGTCTCTTTCTCTCTCTCTCTCTTATTGCTCTCTCTCTCCTAATTGAAGAGTCTGAGTTCGAAGTTAGACTGAAGCAGAAGTTGCAGAGTAAGCAGGATCCTTCTGTTCCTTCTGTGAGCAGCAAGACCAGGGGAGTGTTTTCAAGTCTCATCCCGGGTGGCCAATGGCTCCCAGTTGATCTGGTTGTTCATTATTAGAATGTCATCAACAATTGTAAAATAATGACAGATCCTGACCTAGAAGGTATGCAGTAGGGCACAGGGAATTTTATTTTTAACTCTCTGGGACATCTGGACACTCATCGAGTTTTGGGAACCACTGTGACTTAGCTTTTTTCCACTGTGATAGATAATAGCCAAGGTGATAGCTTCTCTTCTGTGCATTTATCAAGCTTTTATCAAAATTTTACTCAGGCCGGGGACCAGTGGCTCACACCTGTAATACTAGCTACTTGGGAGGCTGAGTTTGGAAGGCTCCCTCTTCAAGGCTAACTAGAGTAAATAGTTTGCAAGACTTCATTTCCAAAATT